CTTCGCTATGAACTGTTTGAACATTATAAAAAAATATCTGCAGATATATCTGTAGCTAATTAACAGGGATGTAAAGGGATAAGGGATGTATCAATTCCGGTTGTAATTGTAATTATTTAATGAAATATGCATTAAGCAAAAAAAAAAATAATTATATATATATATATATATAATTAACAGGACCAAAAAGTCATGTAAATCGTTTGCATATAATAATTAATTAATAACTTCACCCATGTTAAATTCAAGTTAAATTCATAGCATCTAACCTGATTAAGGTGTGAAAAAGAGAAAAAAAAAGAAAAGAAAAGAACAGAAAAGAAAAGGATTATGAGATTAAAAGCTGTAAAGACATGAAATAAGTGTGCAGTGGATGCAGGGAGAGTTGATTTACGGGTGTGATGAAGCGCTCCAGCTGGACCTTATTTGGTGGTATAAAACTTACGATACAGTCACAGCCCTGACACAACACTCCCACTCACACTATTACAATATGTTCCTGCTCAACAGACCTTCAGTGGAAGAGTGTTCTCTTAAAGGAAGGGCCAGGAGAAGGCCAGCATCTAACCTGATTAAGGTGTGAAAAAGAGAAAAGAAAAGAAAAGAACAGAAAAGAAAAGGATTATGAGATTAAAAGCTGTAAAGACATGAAATAAGTGTGCAGTGGATGCAGGGAGAGTTGATTTACGGGTGTGATGAAGCGCTCCAGCTGGACCTTATTTGGTGGTATAAAACTTACGATACAGTCACAGCCCTGACACAACACTCCCACTCACACTATTACAATATGTTCCTGCTCAACAGACCTTCAGTGGAAGAGTGTTCTCTTAAAGGAAGGGCCAGGAGAAGGCCACAGGAGGAGCACAAATCGCACACCTTCACATGCACATCATTCTAAACACTTCATAAGTCACAAATCAACTTTCAATGCACTCTGTCACTTAGTCTCTTCCCAAACTCACATTATGGAACAACTAGCTGGGATGTGGAAGCATGCAAACAAGTGCAGCTCCATCTGTAAATAAGGACGTTAAGGCACAGAGAGCTCAGTTTCAAGGTAATGCTGGTTGTACGACTGACAGGTACACACTGTATGCATTGCTACAGTGTCTCTGAGCATCAGTCTATAGGTGAATTCCAGCCAGACGATCACTTTCCATCATTCACCGCAAGGAAATATGATCTACTGACACATCCAACCCATTAAGTTGTTTGGACTAAACTCAATAGCTTAGATGGAGCCATGGGAATAACATTCATTCATATCTGTGGGATCCAAATAAAAGATCCACTTAATTTGTATTTCACTTTGCTTTGAGCAAATACACCACAGTATTTGGCTCTACCTGCTGGAATACAACTGAACTGAAGATTATAACAAGCCAGTAATGCAATGAACACTATCTCTGTCCAAATTACTGAAATAATCAATTACAAGTTCCAACACCAATGTGACCAATGTCACTCATGCTGCAGCTATATTGACTACATTGTTGAGAATTTAGAGATGTTCACACTGACAGCGATTTGCAATGACAAAGCAACTTGATTCAATGGGAGTTAAGTAAAAATGTATAATAATATGAAAAAAACATATGGTAGTGAACAAAGTAATTTGTTGACTAGATGCTACAAATCTGACCCAAGTGTTTAATGTCACGACTGTTTAATGTCTTACATGTGAACACTCCATGAAAACCCTATATAGGAGGTTCTCTGAGTTTAGCTGCATATTTTACTTTGAAAAAATAAATAAATAAAAATCTCTAGCCACATCAGGCTTTTATTGACCAGCCACTGTGGTTAATGAAGTTAATTTCATAGTCTGCTGATACAGTTAGACACTAGTCGAGTAGGAAAGTCTAATGGCAACCGCAGCACTGCGACCTTCCGTCAGTGATTTAATTGCTGTCAGTGTGAACGGCCCATTCCAGATCAGCCATGCACTAAAAGAGAAACACTAGACTAGACTGGTCTACTAAGAGCCCTGCTTCCCAATCTGGTCATGTATAGTGGCCACCCCACCTGAAAGATGAGATGCAGAACTGGAAGAAAAATATTCAAGTCACAATAAATGAAGGACATGCTACTGGTGCATGAGGTTAAAGCTTTCAGAAATGCAGACACACCAGAGTATAAAACCACAAAGCAAAACTGATTTCATCCATAATATGCTGAAGGACATAAATTTAGGACTGCTCTCATTTGCATAACGTTCCCAAAATAAAATGATCTTCATTATGTGGTAAATTGGCTCAATTGTTCATAGCTAATTGACCTGTCCGTGTCTAGCACTGTGCGAGCACTAACAACTGCGATGACGAGTGCCACCCACACAAGTCCCCATTCAGTATTACTGCACTCCCAAAAGCCCTTTATTGCATGAGGCATGCTAATAAAACCACATTTAACAAAACACCCGTACATCATCTGGGTATAATCTTGACCTCTAGAGTCAGATGTACAGTGCACAGCATAAATGAGTACACCCCCTCTGAATAAATATAAAAGATGTATTTTCTTAATGATCACTAATATAATTCATGGAAAGATGGCAAAATTGAAACATAGTAAGCATATACTTAATAAAAACAACAAAATATATGCCAATATTTTCTGTAAGATAAGTAAATTAGCCAATTTTGTTTAAATGAAGGATTGCAGAAATGAGTACACCGTAGATTTAATTCAGAAAATGTATAATATTCTAGTACTTAGTATGTCCTCCAGAACTTAAAGTATACTGCTCTGACTCTTCTTGGCACTGAGTGTACAAGTTCATGACAAATTTTCACATCTGTGCTGTTTAACTCCTGGAGGACGACCTCCTTGAATGCCCTGGTCTTTAATCAAAAATAGCCTTAAACCTATTCACTTTTTTTTTGTTTGTTTGTTTTATTTAATAACTTTCAGGAGGGTGTACTCATTTTTGCAACACAAAATGTTTTCACTTTGATAAGAAAATCTTATTTTGCTGAATAATTTTGGCATTCTTCTTTGGTAATTGATCAAGCATGCTTGTTGGAACATTACATCTCCAAAGAACCCTAACATGTCTTCTAAGTAAAGAGTAATTGCCGAATTTGTTAAGTTTTAGAGGGGGTGTACTCATTTATGCTGTGCACTGTATGACTTAGTCTGACAGACACATATAAAAACATGTCATCAGCAGTAAGGGTGGACGATATGACCAAAATCTTATTTCACGGTATGAGAAATTTTATTTCACAATAACAATCGATATCTCGATATAGCTATTTTTGTTTTATTTTATTTTTATTAAAAATAAGAAAAAGAAGCAAATTACAAACACAATAGAACAAATAAATATAAAATAAACTTTTAATTTATTCAGCTACAGTAGGCTTCAGTAGGCTTATTTAACATGTAGTAAGAAATATTACAGAAATTGAATAAAGTGTATTAATGAAACACTGAATAGTCTTCACTGTATCAAACATGAACTGATTCTTATTAAATATCCAAAAGTGATTCAGTCAAGTGCAGTGAGTGATTAACATTAATAATGACAGACAGCAACAGGTAAATTAGACAGATTTATAAATTATGCAGATATATTTGCATACCGTGGAATACACGATACAGCAAAATCTCTAACGATAGACACTTTATTCAGCGGTAACGATACATATACCATCATACCGCCCGTATTGTAAGATATATACTTGCAATTTTGAGAAACAATTGTTTGATATAACTTGCAATAAGTAAAACAAATCTCAAATGTGAGGTATAGTCACATGCAAAATATGTTTTTTGTAATTGTGAGAAACAACATCACGTGAGACATGTCACATGTAAGACATGTAAGATATAATTAGCAATTTGCAACCGTTTCTTTGGTTTCCGCTGTAAACAAAGCAGCGCTGCACGTATGAACTTTAATATGCATTATACAGAGCCAAGATGAACAGAAAAAATACCATCTAAACTTTTCTAAAGACAGTAAGTTCCCCTCAATCTTATTTCACGGTATGAGAAATTTTATTTCACAATAACAATCGATATCTCGATATAGCTATTTTTGTTTTATTTTATTTTTATTAAAAATAAGAAAAAGAAGCAAATTACAAACACAATAGAACAAATAAATATAAAATAAACTTTTAATTTATTCAGCTACAGTAGGCTTCAGTAGGCTTATTTAACATGTAGTAAGAAATATTACAGAAATTGAATAAAGTGTATTAATGAAACACTGAATAGTCTTCACTGTATCAAACATGAACTGATTCTTATTAAATATCCAAAAGTGATTCAGTCAAGTGCAGTGAGTGATTAACATTAATAATGACAGCAGCAGCAGGTAAATAAGGGTGCAGTCCCTTTAAGACCAACTGCACGGATCCAATATACTGAAACACATCGTGATTTCACCGGTTTTAACCGTTTCTTTTTATTTAACACATAACTGACTATGTTTACTCCACACAACGGCATTTTGACATAATTGTGTGCATATTTGACCATTCAAGCATGAAAGAGATCTGTTTTCTGATCATGCATGTCCCAAATTCGTGATCACATGCGGTCTGAGAGAGGCGCTTTCTGAGTGTTTGCTTCGTGTGTGTCAGTCAGCACAAGCACCACATTGAGTTCTTTTTCACTGCTTGTTGCACTTATTAACTCTACCAAGTGCGCCCCACTCTTTATTTTCTCATCCATGCATGTTTCCGTATCACTCAAAGGTGTATACGACTTTTAAGTACTATAATGTTAAGCAGATATATTTGCATACCGTGGAATACACGATATAGCAAAATCTGTTGATATATACCGTCATACCGCCCAGTCCTAATCAGCAGTGTGCTAACTGTGTCACAGCATGTGACAAATGTTTTATGAGATGTCAGTTCCAAGTAATCAGTGAGAAAACATTATTTTTAGTTAAAATGAATATATGAGGATCACATGCTCTGGAGGGATGTTTGTGGGCATCTGGTGATGTTGCTGTGGGTGTATGTGTGTAGCCATCTTACCAGAACTCTGCCGGTAAGGGTCTGTGCTGAGATCATGACCCCCGCCCAGTCTTTGACTGAGGTCATCCAGCCCACCTCACTGGCTGGGGCCTCCTCTTTATCGTTCTTCGTTGGGCCATCAGCCTGACTGTTCATAGGGTTATTCACCTTCTGTGCCTCCCGGGAAAAATAAAAGCAAACATAGAGCAAAGTAAGCAACGGGATAGTTTTTGGATACTCACAAACAATGCTGTTAGAAACAGTCAATCAATCATACAAACTATGGCTGATATACTGAATATTTGCATAGCATTTGTAAGAATTTTGTTAGTAATGTAACATTTTGCAACATTATAAATCTTTTGATGGCTTAGATGAGCTTTTTATTCCAATGAACTCAAAATCATTCAAATTCAAAATAATTTGCATAATTAAAAAAAATAATAAATAGAAGTCTTACAACGCATTTCATATTTTGACATTTTATTAAACAAAATGCAGGTAACTATTGATGTCTATTATTGTGTTTTTACTTGTCTTGTTATTGGATTCTGGTATTTATGTTGGTGCATATAAAAAAAATATATTTTAAGGTGACATAGGCCTACGTACAGTGTACTGTACATTGTTATTGCTATAGGGTTTAGGTTTTAGGTTTAGGGTTATTTGTAATAAAATATTACAAATATTTTAAATAATAATAATAATAATAATAATAAAAAAACATTTTTGTTTTAATTTAACAAACATGCTTTATTTTGCTTTATCTAGATTTTGTCAAAATGACGGTACCTTTAACTTAGTGTGAAAAATTCAGATCAAATGCATAAGTATCAAAAAAAATAAATATTTGCTACAATTTCAAACAAATATGGAGACTTAATTTTCCAGATGACCCAGCCTTAATAAAAACCCAGGACACTTAATGATTAATTAGGGCCAGAGCACCACGGTGTGAGGACCCTATTGGAATTGCTCTGTTTCTTCTTCTTCTCCAAAATGAATCACATTTTTTGAGGTCCTAAACATGCTCGAAATCTCATGAAACTGCACACACGCCAGAAGTGGTGAAAATTTACATCTGATATAGGTTTCAAAAGTGGGTGTGGCAAAATGGCACCTACACACTATCAAAGAAGTGCCCCTCGTCACATGTAACATCCCAATACCTACAAAAAAGTCTCTTGGAGCAAAATCCGAAACACAACAGAACGTCAGTTATTTCTAATTTAATTCTAATTTCTCATTTTTGCCATTTTCAGGCATTGTATTTTAACAAACTCCTCCTAAAGATTTAATCAGATCAACGCCAAATTTGGTCAGTGTAATCTAAAGCCCTTTGTGAAGTTAAATTGCGAAGATCTTGAGTTTTTGTTGTAGGGCGTGTCCGTGGCGGCCTGACAAATTTCGATGTTTCGCCTTGAAACAGGAAGTTGTTATAACTCAGGCATACAATGTCCAATCTACCCCAAACTTCACATGTTTGATTAGAGTCCTGTCCTAAAGACATCCCCATGCCCATATTCAGTTATTGTCATAGCGCCACCAGCTGGCAACAGGAACTGAAATGTTTTACGCTGTAACAAACTCCTCCTAGAGATTTAACGACATAAACATTATATTTGGTCAGTATAATCTAAAGCCCTTTGAGATGTTAAATTGCAAAGATCTTGAGTTTTCGCTAAAGGGCGTGTCCGTGGTAGCCTGACAAATTTCGAAGTTTCGCCATGGAAAAGGAAGTTGTTTTACCTCAGCCATACAATGTCCGATCTGTCCCAAACTTCACACGTTCGATAAGAATCCTGGCCTGAACACATCTAAAGACCAATATTCCATTATAATCATAGTGCCACCTGCTTTAGTTTAACTAAAACATGCAGTGTCCAATCTGCCCCCAAACTTGACATGTTTAGTAAGAGTCCTGGCCTGAAGACATCTACATGCCAAAATTCAGTTATAATCATAGCACCACCAGCTGGCAGCAGGAAGTTTGGTGAATATAAATGACATATAAATGACATACTCCTCCTATATTTACCACTTTAAATGCATGTTGCCCACCATTCACTGTTTTCCAAAAGCCATCGGTTGGAGGTGGCTCTGGGTGTGAGGGCCCTTTCAACGCTGCTTGCAGCTTTAATTTAATTTGTTATTTTAAGCTTTAAAAAAGGTAACAGCAGTGATGAATTCACTGTGGATTTGGTAATTTTGGAGTTCAGTGTCAGAAACTGCATTCATAACTCACTATTTTTGCCTGTTTCTACAGCTTGACTCATGCTTTGACAGGCTGAGACCTACATCACATTAGACATCAAACTCGCTGTCAGGTTTCTGACAGCTGGAAGAGGCCTGAGAGGAAGCAGCGAGGAGAGGTGTTCTTTGAGGCCCAGCAAAAGAGCATCTCTCAGACTGCCTGACGCACACAGCACGGCTGGCGGTGTGTAGGCCGAGGCAAGGACAGCTATGATTCACAGGCTCAGGGAGTCGCTGTGGGATTCTGGGGTTACATCCGCAGGCCTAGGCAACACTTCAGTCAGGTGGGTGGATGAAAATACAGTCATCATGCGCTCAGCGGTGCAGCCTGATGCTTTAGAAGCTTCGCTGGAGGAATAGCTTATATTCCACCGCGGGGTTGGCAGAGAACTAACAGACTTGGGCTATGATGCATAAATAACAGCAGGTAATACTCTAATTTCTGCACAACACTCTTTTGAACATCTCTGTCTGCTCAGTGGGATCATGTGCTGGAACAGAATATCAGTCTGATGTTAAAAGCTGTCTGTTGGCAACAAAAACAAGGAATGTTATCCAGTTTATCCCAATGAAAATGGAATAGAGATGATAATATGGCTAGTGATGGACTGATACATAACCAAGGTAAATGAACTGATATCTGACTTTCTCCAGTTAGGAGAAATGTCACCTCTCCACTTTGTGAACTCTAAAATCTACAACCCTGTCGACACATAAGCAATTCTGCTATCAGTGTATAAACTGTTAATTCTTGTAAATCTCAGTCAGTAAATTATTCTGTCATGTACATTAGCATATCTAAATATTAAGCATCACAACTGTTTTCAGTATTGATAATAATAATAAATGTTTTCTGAGCAGCCAATCATCATATTAGAATGATTTTTGAAGGATCATGTGACACTGAAGACTGGAGTAATGATGCTGAAAATGCAGCTTTGCAGTCACAGGAAAAAGTTACATTTTAAAATATAATTGTAATATTTCACAATATTAGTGTTTTTACAGTATTTTTGATCTAATGGTGAGCAAAGGTGACTCAAACATTTTCAAATCTTACCAACCCCAAATTTTTCAACAGTATTGTTTAGGGCTGCATGATAAATCGAAATGGAATCGGAATCGCGATTCGACAGAAGCTGTTATTGTCATGCATATCTTTCAGTGAAGCACGGTTCTGTGATCAGCAGTAAATCTCCATCCAAAGGCCAGAGGGCGCTCTCGCGCTGAAACTCCAAATACGCCTCGCAGAAGAAACCCAGGAAATGCCTATAGCGGTAGCTGGATAAACAGAAGATTCAACTGCTTTCATTGATTCAACGTGACTAATAAACACACGATTATGACAATATATGGTTTATCTGAGTTATTATTATTATAATTTTCATTAAAATAAAGTATATTTATAATGCAATGCCTTTATCACTGCTTAGAATACTATGAAATATGTTGCGTGCCTTATTCTGTGTAAGAAGCCACATCATCTCACAGAAGGATTTATTTCAAACATAACGTTTCGACTGACGTTATGAAGTGAGTTTGGAGTAAAAATATGTTATCAAATGCGGTATTTTCACATGCTTTCAGATGGAGCAGCATTTACTACACAGAGCCGTAGTTCACGGAGAAGCTATGCAAACAGCTGTCATTATCGCGAACGATTTCATAATCGCGCAATAAAATCGATTACGCGATTTTTTTGCGTAACTTGTCAGTGAACTACAGCTCTGTGTAGTAAATGCTGCTCCATCTGAAAGCACGTGATGATGATTTACTGCTGATTACAGAACCGGCATTACTAACAAAATGCGCATGACAATCGCATTCGATTAATCGTGCAGCCCTAGCATTGTTTATTTTTCTTTATCCATTTGTTGAATACCTTATATTTTTACACAAAGCAAAAGGTAATAATTTAATTTAAATTTATAATTTATGCATTTAGCAGACGCTTTTATCCAAAGCGACTTACAGTGCATTCAGGCTATACATTTTTTACCAGTATGTGTGTAAAAGGTCTGTGTTAATGTGTTCTCTCTGACCACAGAGCACTTGAACGTGACATGATTACACCTTAAGAAGTAGGATGTAGGATGTAGGATCATCTGACAAAGTGTCTTTAAAGAGTTTTTAAGAGCTTACAGGAGGCTTAAATGACAGAGATGTCTTAGATTCAGTCCATAACACTGGCCTGGCTGTGGGTGTTAGGTCAGACATAAGGACATGAACACATCCCTAGAGGAAGTGTATCACTGTGGTGCTGCCACAGAGGATGCCAAGCTGTGATGGAAAGATATATGGTTCAGATGAGAGCAAATTTAATGAGAGTCTCAGGAGGAGAGAAACACCTCTGTCAACAAGTGGGAAGAACAAAACACACATGCATCAGTGATATTAAACTAAACTCCAGGATAAATGAAAATCACTGAGCATTAATCACTGAGCACTCACTTGTTACAGGTGCAGCTAGCAGAAAAGGTTTTAAGATCCAAGAAAAATGGAAGGTCAATTTTGGATCCTAAGTATAGCTAACATACTGAAACCATGAATGGAAAAAGCTACCCAATAAACGGTGTGAGGTGTGAGTGTCATCCCAGGACAGATATATAGCCTGTCTTCAGGGTGTGGCATCCAGTGAGGCAGTAAAGACCATATATCAGAGACCGGCATGAAGGTTTTTGAAGCGACTGGCACCACAGGAGATCCAGACATGACCATCTGACTCCAGACGGCTCCAGAAGTTGACTACCGGCCCAGACATACTGAGCAAAGTAGTGTTGTCACGGTACCAGTGAAAATCCACGGTTCTCGGTACCAATTTCGGTACCAAAGCAAAACACAAAAACATTTTTTTTTTTTTCTTTTTTTTTTTTAAGTGTAGCACAATCACAATATTTGTCTTAATTTCTTCACTTGCAAA